TTAACCCCCCCCCCCCCCCCCCCCACTAAACCAGTTCTTTAACCCAGATTCTTCATCTCAATAAATAACCCTACTGTCCACTCTTCAAAAACTTACAGGCCATTTTGGGTTCTGCTTTTTCCCTTGTTCTTCCCGTATCCAACCTAATGAGTAAATCCTGGCAATTTCTCCCCAATATATATTGCATTCATTCACTTCTCTTCATCTCAACTGTCACCCCTAAATCCAACTTGCTTGCACCCTTTGCTGGATATTGTCATTGCCACCTAGATGCTGTATCTCCTCCCTACAACCTACACATAGCAGCTCCAGAACAGCTACAGTAATATATATATGTGTGTGTGTGTGTGTGTATATATATATATATATTTTTTTTTTTTTTTAAATGTGGATCAGATCATGCTTAAAACCCTTCAGTGTCTTCCACTAAAATAAAAACGGTACTTACTGGGGCCTATTTGCCAGCCTCATCTCTTCCCACCTTTCCTTCTATCACTGGATTCTATCCACACCTGGCCCCTTTGCTGTTTCTGAACATGCTAAGAGACTTCCTGCCTCAGGGCTTCTGTGCTTATTGTTCCTTCTAATTAGAATGTTCTTCCTCAGCTTTTCTGTGATAATTTCTCTTTATTCTTTTAAGTCTCATTACAACTATTACCTCTAAAAGGCCTTTTCTAACCCTTCTAAATAATGTAGTGCCCCACCTCAATTTTTTATATTCTATTACTATTTTTTCGTTCATGACACTTATCATAATCGAAAATTATCATTTATTTTATAAATTCAATAAATCATGACATCCTGTTTCCAATGATAATATAAGCCCATGAAGATAGCAGCCTCATCTGCAGTGCCTAGAACCATGCCTGGCACATAGTAGACTGCATGGCTAGATGTTGAGCAAATGGTGCCAAAGATTATTAAAGATTGCAGATTGCTCAAAAAGGTGAATTGAGTTGCAAATTATAGCCAGCTTTCCCCTTTAGCTCAGGCTGGATTGATAGTGTCAAAGGCCAAAGGGTGAACCAATAAGTCAACACAGTAGTGAGAGGAGCCACATGTAAGAAAATAAAAATGCTGATAAATTCTAATTTAGTGATAGGGAAACATCTCATCAAAACTGCTTTCTTCAGATGGAAATCTTGTTAGTATTTTATAACTGTAATCTGTGTCAAGTAAATGATGCTCTCTGGCTAAGAATTTTCAATATGAAGTCATAAATTGAAAGAAAAATATAGCAAAAGAAGTTAATATTGTGATACATTCCAGCTAGAAACTTAGTCATGGCACTTGTTCCTGGTAGTTTCCTGTAACTTTTATTTTTCTTCCTTCGCCAAGTCAGATACATTATTTTGTTCTTGTTTTATATTAATTAGTCTTATCATTGCTAGTCATTGAAAGTTCTCTTGTATTTCTTTGAAACAGTCATGTCTGCTGATAATAGTGTTCTTCATACATATTTAGACAATTCAGTAGTTGGAAAGATGTGAGACGTATTAAATGGAAAATTACAATCAAGAATGTAAAGTTGAGTAAATAATGTTTACCAAGGAAAACCTGAAACATACTAAACATATATCTCAAGCCAAATGCTGTGCTATCTGCCCCAAATTTTCTAATTACTCATATCTTTATATTAAACATCTCATTTAATTCCAATTTTGTAGCTGCTTTCTAGGAACTGTAAGTCTAATGCTTCATCATGTTTAAAACCTGTCTCTCCCCCATATCCCAATACAGATTATTATGCCCTCTTTGGTACTATATGCCGTGGATGTGAGTTTCCCATAGAAGCTGGTGACATGTTCCTGGAAGCTCTGGGCTACACCTGGCATGACACTTGTTTTGTATGCTCAGTAAGTAAAATATTCTTTTTTTAATTAAAGGAATACAGCGTGTGGTTGATTGTAGCCTTAGTACTCAAGGGAAATGTCAGCTCTTGTATCGTTCAGTCCTTCAAACCTAAAGAAAAGATATTTTCCAGTGAAAGTTGTTTATTAAATTTATTGGTACTTTTGAAATTATTTGGCATATAATAAGGTCCTTATCCCTTAGAGGAAATACAATTTTTAACACATTTTTGTCTATGAGGAAAAGCTATGTGTTTCTTAAAACAGTAAGAATCCTGTACTAAAAACAAAAAACAAAACTCTTTTACCAGAGTGTTTTTAGTAGCCTTTAAAAATGTTAGGTATTTCTTAAAATAGAAATATCCAGTAAAGGTGCTCTGTTCAGATGTTTGGTTTTTTAAAATTAGATTCACTATATCTAACAGTTTTCAATACCCATGGTATGAAGGGTGCAAAAGTAATGTTAAGTGAAGTCTAATGATTTTCCCAAACATTAACATCGAACCCAGCCGGGCTCGGTGACTCAGCCTATAATCCCGCCCTTTGGGGGCCGAGGTGAGTGGATTGCCTGAGCCCGCAGGTTCGAGACCTGCTGGGCAACTTGGCGAGACCTCATCTCTACAATAAATCAAAAATTAGCCGGGTGTGGTAGCGTGCACCTATAGTTCCAGCTACTTGGAAGGCTGAGGTGGAAGGATCGTCGGAGCCCAGCAGGTCGAGGCTGCAGTGGCCGGGAGCGGCTACTGCACTCCAGTCTGGGTAACAGAGTGAGACTCCAACTAAAAAAAAAAAAAAGCAACAACTTTGAGCAGATTTGCCTTCTTTTCTCTAATAGAACTGCTCGTGAGCTTAATTAACAAAGGTGGCAGGGAAAGCAAGAAGGCATACGTGTGGATAATGAACTGGATAATGAACTGACTATAATCTACAGCAGCCAGATTTGACCAGCATTTTTGCTGCAAGAAGTAAACAGATTAAAATGAAATCTCAGCTTGAACACAAGGCAGCCCTTTAAAAAAAAAAAAAGTCTCAAGTATTCTATGCCTGTGTATTGGGGGAAAAACTGAAGTTGGGTTTGGAAATGTTTGGCAAAGCACATGAGTTGTATTTTGGTTCTCTTGAAGCAAATTTAAAACATTATTTAGAATTTTGGGAGAGAAGACATATTTAACAGAACCTCTTTCCGTATTAATTTTTTTTTATTAGGACTAAGTCTTCCCTTCCAATAAGGAAAAGTAGTGATTAATGATTTCAGTAAATTAGAATACTTTCTTGATGGGGAACAGTGGCTCACGCCTGTAGTTCCAGTACTTCAGGAGGCCAAGGCAGGAAAGTCGCTTGGACCCAGGAGTTCGAGACCAGCCTAGGCAACATAGTGAGACTTTGTCTTTACAAAAAAACATACAAAGAGTTAGCTGGACATGGTGGTGCATGCCTATGGTCCCAGCTACTTGGGAGACTGAGGTGGTAGGATTGCCTGAGTCCAGGGGTCCAGGATCGTGCCACGGCACTCAGCCTGGGCAACAGAGTAAGTCCTTGTTTCAAAAAAAAGAGAAAAAAAGGCATTCTAGAAAAAAAGTTTTTGTAAGATTATATGAAATGTCACAATTATCATGAAATATCAGGGTGTCTTACTAACTAAAGTGTTTTTGTCGTATCCATTGGATGGGGAAAAAGATCTGTTTTACCTTCTCTAGCATACTTGATAAAATAATGATATTCTCTTAAATAATGCTTCTTTTTCAGGTGTGTTGTGAAAGTTTGGAAGGTCAGACCTTTTTCTCCAAGAAAGACAAGCCACTTTGTAAGAAACACGCTCATTCTGTGAATTTTTGAAAGTCGACAATTCAGAGGAAGAGAAGAAATTTGAAGAGAAAAAGGAGAATTAAAATTACCAATTAATTTTTAGATTCAATATTTATATGGAGTTTTGAAAAATAATAATGTCTCTGAAGGAATAAAACCAACTTTAAAAACCAAGTCTATGAGGAAATATTTGGCTTCATATAGTAAAGAGACAGTTTGGCATTTATTATTACTTTTTCCTGTATTTTATGCCCATAAAATAACTTTTATAAAAATCAATTTCCTGGTTGACTATTAAATTCATCTTAGAATAAATTAGTGTAGAATTAATTTTTAGAATAAAAACTCCAATCTTTGTGCTGAAATAATTATGCTTTACTTGCTAAGTGGTTATGAGTAAATCTGCAAAAGGCAATGAAAAATCCTTTAAACTTTATCAATAAGAAAGTCATTGTACTTTTTAAAAAAAGAATGAGTGCTTATCTTTTAAATAGTAAATAGGAGTTTAAATAGAGAATTTTATCAGTAGTAGATGTCAGGTTTTTTAACCTATTATACATATATTATTTTTGCCTTATAGTTGATCATTCCAGTAGGAAAGGGCAGTGAGATTTTTGATCCAAATGTGGCATGCCAATAAGAAATGTTATATTTTTTCTCATCCCCCCCAAAAAAGCTACCATATAGCTTATAAATCTCAAATATTTTCCTTTTATTAAATGTGTGACTGTTTCTATTCATTGTGTAGGCTTCATCACCTATATTCGTCAAACTCCATTTTTTACCCCTTCCCTCATGTGGAGGTAAAGAGCTAATTAAATAACTGGGTTCTAACAGTTTTCTATTTCTTTAAAGAGAATAAATAAAAACAATGTGGTCAGGAATTATGGTAAATCCTCCCCTTTCAGGTAATGAATCAGTTAAATCAGTTTCAGAGTTACATCACTGACTGATGAAGATTTGAAAGCTCTCTTTGTAGAATATTTTTTTTAATTCCACATTAGAAAAATATAAAAGATTGGCTTGGGGATGTGATAAAATTGAGACTTTTTTGTACTTTTCTCTCAGAAATAAGTGACTCTCTTTCCAATGTGATCCCAAAGTTTGGAAAGCTTTTAGTCACAGAGGTTTGGTAGTATAGGAGGGGCACTTGATGAATTACCCCATTGGCCTGTTATTTGTTTCCTTTTGGGGGGAAATAGTTAATGTAGCTACCACAAGGAGACAAACAGTGGCGGAAGGGTGGATCCTGTTGATATTTGCCCAGTGAGAAAACATGATGGCATTTGATAGTTTTTTTCTTTGTTTCCAGATGGATGAAAGCCCATGATCCCATAAGTTATAACTGAAATTTGTTTGGGACAAGGTGCTTTCATAGCTGAGACAGAGCCCGAGTCCTTCCTGCCCCATCACTCATGAGGCCGTCACTCCTATTGTGTGTGTGTTTGTTGTGGAGGAGGTTTTAGGCTACACTATTTGTTTAACCTCCCGAAGAACTTTCAGGGCATCTGTCCTGAAAGCTGTTAATTTATGGTCTAGCAAATTTATATTATATGCAGATAATAATTAACTGGGGATAAAAGAAAGGCAAGGGGTGACACCGAGAGGCAGGCTGAATGAGTCTCCAATGGCAACCCCAGACTACCTCCTGGCCCTGTGTCTTGTAGGGAGGCAGGAAGCTTCTTTTGAAATAAAGTGCTGGAACTGCGTCGTGCATTATTTCTCATTGCTGCTGAAACCACCTGTAGGAAACTTGCTGGCTAATGTCCACTGTCACAGATCTTACTGTCAGTCTTCTATATTATGTAATACAGAGTAAGTGGATGGCTTTGTTTTGGTGTGATAGAGTTCTTGTTGTCGTTTAGTTTTGCCCTCATAGGTTATATGCCCAGATCATATTTGATAATCAATGGCATTTGGGTATTTTTTTCAAAGAATTTTATTTGACCTGGATTTTGTATAAAGTTATTTTACATTAAGGATATCATTTTTATGACAGCTTTCTACATGTTATTCATGGAGCATGACATTGTGTTTCTCCAAATTGTATCCCTAAAAGGGTAGTGCTGTTTCCCAATTTATCATTTTTGTCTTTGTCCATCTCTTCTGTGGCAAAGCTTTATATCTGTTCCTAAAACAGTTAATCCTGTGAAATAAATACTGAATATAATCCAGAAGAATCCCTGTATTTCCATTGGGGAATGCCATATTTAATGCACCAGCAGTAATCTTTTAATAGCTGGCAGAGCACTTTATTCTTCTCATGAGCTCCCTGAATATTTATTTTTCTGCTTATAAATATTCCATGTCAGTAGCATTTATTATTATTACTCCTTCACTATAGAGCATTTGCCTTTATTTTCTCTAGATGTATATTTTGGAAGGTTGTGTTTGGTATACCACAGGTGAAAATAATAGTATACAACTCTGAAAACTCTGCAACTTGGAGTTCCCATTTTCAAAATTTTAGTGATACATTCAGATTTGTAATACTTCTCTAGACTTACAGTATTTCTCTAGAATATAATGCTTCTAAACTTACAATATTTCTTGGACTGGATGTTACCCGCTGAAGTAGCAACCTAAAAATTATCCATCCCTTCCCTCCACTTATGCTTATTCAGTCGGCCCTCTGTATCCATGGGTTTCGCATCATGATTTGACTGACTGCGGATGGAAAATATTTTAGAAAAAAATGGATGGTTGTGCCTTTACTGAACATATACAGACTTTTTTTCATCATTATTCCTTAAACAATACAGTATAGCAACTATTTACATAGTATTTACATCATAGTAGGTATTAAAATAACCTAGAGATGATTTAAAGTATACAGGAGGATGTGCATAGGTTACGTGCAAATACTTTATAAGGGACTTATTGTGGATTTTAGTATCCGAGGGAGGTCCTGGAACCATTCCCCCATATAGATACCAAGGGATGACTGTAGTAGCATATGTCCTATTGAGTAAAGTTACATTTAGAGTCTAAAGCTAAAACCTAGTCATTTGGTCACTGTTTTAAAACAAATAGAAACAACAGTTTAAATCTTCAAAATATTAGTGTACCATTGTGTTTAAAATAATCTACAACAAAAATGTACCATTTTCAAGGGGTACCATATTAGGAGCACTTTTACAGAAAGTAGTTCCTTCCTTTCCCTGTTCAAGTGTGAATCTAGTGTTTTATCAATATTTTTGTGGCATTTGGAGTTGAGTCTTCCCCATTGAAGGGAGAGGCATGAGGGAAAGGAAGACATGCCAAATAGTTTTAGGGAAGGGGAAACATGCTAAGTAACTTTATACAAATCTAGTCCGACTTCAGTTTGTCATCCTCATTCCCCAAAGGTTTAAAGGTATTGGATTTGAATTCTCAATGTGTGATTTGCCTTATCTGTTAGTCTCTATCTTGTGTTTAAGTTTTTAAGTTTGTATATATCTGCTGTTTTGCTTTTGAATACATTTTCTAATTAAAAAATCACATGAGAAATATAATCAGTATAGTAATACCTTAATGTGCACATAATCAATAAATAAATGACTGCATTGATGTAGACAAGCTCTCCTGGTCTTTCTTTTTGGGTGGTAAGTAGTTTCCATCAAGTCATCATGGGAAGAAATCAAGTTTTGGATAGGAGAAGATGCAATAATTCTCAGAAAAATCTCTCGTATGATATTTGCTTATGAAAATGTCCCAGAAACAAAATATTTGAAAATAGAAGAAACAATCACACTTATTCTACTTTTAGAATACTTTTTATGCTCAGCATATAGAATGTACATAATATTTGTGAATTAATAGATAAGTTCTATTATCTTTTTAAAAATATGTAATACTTAGATTATTCATCAGAATAACCTGTAATGTCCAACATCATATTATGTCATAGATCATAATCAAACAACATAAATCGTCTACCTTTTCACATGGTGCATGAGCCAGGGTACGTTACTTCATGCTTAACTCATCCCAGTCTCATTAGCTATCCATTCCACAGCTAGGTAGGTTCACTGCTTCTTCATCTGTTTATTGCTTTGAGTAAGATTTTTTTTCCAACTGTATAAAGTTAAGACAAATGTTTCAGTTGCAGGTTATATATTGGGAATAAAAGAGAAATTCAAGTCTATTTGCTCACAGTATATTAAACTCCAGAAGCCAAACTTTTAAGGGCATCAAGTCTGCATCTGACATTTTAATAGCTGCTGTTTGGTTTCTATCAATCACGTCATTGCACATTAAAATGCACCGACAAAATAAGAGATCTGTCATTCCTTCATTAAGAAACAGTAATCCAGTACAAGATTTATGTGCTTAAGTCTCAACTGTGTGTTCACAATAAATCCCCATGCAGTGCTCAGGCCAGAGCAAGCCTCCCTGTCATTCGGTGTTTTCTAGTCAAAATGTCCCCAGTAGAAGATTATCAAAGGTTTTCTTACAGAACGACATATAAAATCCTTTTGCCAGCAAAAGCTTAATATAGGTTGGCGGTTTCCCTTTCTGAGTCCTCTCAGACAAGATCTTGGTTATATCAGAAACACATAGGTACTGATGTATTATTAGCAGGCCTGGTGTTAATTAGGGAAAATTACCAGAAATAGTTTGCTTCGTGGAAATTTATTACAGAATCACACTTGACTGATGGCAGATTGGAGTTGCTGAGAGAGAGCAGCTCCCACTCGTAACTGCTAATTAATAGGGTGCCAAAATTCCGCAGAGAAAGTTACATCCCAAGTGTGGAGCCTCCCAGGGCAAATGGTTCCTTTGCAGTATTTAAATTTTAACACAGGAAAGGGGCGAGGACACATAGCTACACAGCAGTAAATCTCAGACTGATATGGTTTTATGTTGTTCACATGAACAAGGATTTAACTCAGTGAGCTCCAAGCCCAAATGTCACCGTATATTTCTCATACTAAGGAGATACGCATATTATTTTTAACGTGGCAAGTGTCTGATTTGCCAGACGGTTCACTTTGTGAAGAGTACTCACAGCCTACCATTTGTCTGTGGTCTTATATTACTGAGCTTTTACTCTTGATTTCCATTATTTAGAAACTGTATGGGTAGGTGATAAGATTGCATCCATGATTAATAAGAAAGATGTGGCCTGCACACCTTGAACACGGGCTGGGGAAAACTGAAGTGCATTTGATGATTTGTACTAATGCCAGAGCACTAGGGGACCCCTACTAAATACAAAATTTTCCAAGAAGGCAATTTTTTGGGCTCTGTAACCGTGTAATCATACAATAAAGCTTGGAGCTGTTGTTTAGAAGAATAGAACATTTTCATGTTAGAAAACCACTGATTCTCAGGGAGAAAAATCAAACAATTTAGAATTCACAGGGAGTGTTATTTTCTATTTCTCAACTATGACAAATATAGTTCTCAAGGAAAATGATTTCTGTACCAGGTCCATAAATTGATTGACACAGCTTCTTATGCATCCATGTTTCAAAGGACAAAGTTTCTGTCTTTTCTGTTCAGTTTCCTAATTGAGTTCCAAATTATCTTTTCAGCTTCATATTCTAAACTGTCACATTTTCTTTCTAGTTCAGATATAACTGGGTTTTTTCCCTTTTCTCTGTTTTTTTTGGTTTTTTGGGGTTTTTTTGCTTATAAAACACACAATAGGTGCTGTTCTAACTTACTCAAAAACACCATTGTTTCCTTGTTTAAAGTATGTTAGTGTTAATCTTCATGTGTGTCTTGAATTTTCTAGTCTATTCCTAATATGCTCAACTGTCACCTTGGTAAATTAGGATGTAAATGGAACTCCAGTGACATCATAGCAATATTAATTTTTTCATAAATAAAACTGCTTAGGTGGCCCTACATTGATGTCACCTGATCCCGGAAGCTTTCTTCGTCCCTGTTTGTCTGAGAATCCTGACAATTTCAAGCCTCCTTAACTGAAGGAAGCAGAGAGCTGAGGATTCCATGGAGCTTTTCAAGTATGAACTTTGAAATACAAGTTAAATTACTTCTGGCTTTATTAACTGGAACTGACCATTCATTCTGCTCTGCTAAATTATTGTGCTACTACTTAATAATTTTTCTAGTACCATTATAGATGCCTTCAATGCTTCTGGCCTTGAAAAGATAAATTGATATGAATCAGTTATAGTTTATTTATGGCAATATCTGGAAAGTTGTTAATGAACTTTAACAATATCAACATATAATAGTATAATTTAGGGCTTGGGGGGAAAACATACTTGGTTACTCCTGGTAGTTCAGTCTGGATTCAATCAGGAGGCCAGAGATCACACAATAACTTAGTAGAAGCTTAGTATAAGCAATTCCTAAACTGTGATAGGAGAGCTAAAACTGAAAAAGATAGAACTCTAAAGGGTAGCTTGGGTTGAGAGAGGACTCAAGAAAGACAACTTTAGAAGAAGACCCCTCCGTATGAGAGGGGGCCAGACCTTGTTGGAGGAAGTGTTTGCAGCCCATTCAATGGCACACAGTCTCTGGATTGCCGTCGTGCCGAGCACAAGGAAACGATCCCCTGGAATGCAGGCAGGCCTAGGTTGATGGGTGGGTACAGGAGGACACTGGGGTGCTGCCATGGGCACAGGCCTGGAATCCATAGTGTCCATGTTAAGAGGGCCGTGCAAGGTACTCCCTAGGCCAGGGACGTGCTGTCCCTGAGGAACTATGCAGTCTAGATGCACAGCTGGGGCAGAGCTCCACCGGTTGTCCCCACACACATGCACGTGATGGACCACACAGAAAAGGCAACACGCAACACCTGGAACCAGGGAGCGAGGCCCCTAACTTCT